CTGCCTGCTTGGGATTCATTTTAACAGTAAAACAACTATCATCCATTCTTTGAGAACAAAAATGTTCTGAGAGTTACTTTCAAATAATATCGACAAATGTGCCCCTATTGGCAGTTTGCAAAACAATCTAAAAAAAAAAAAAAATCCCTTTGCTTTTCAGTTCCCAAAACAGCAGTTTCTTCAGTTCTTTTTTTAGTTTTATGTTCTCTTAAAAGGCAAAGTAGAGACAAACAAATGTGTTCCTAGAGTACTTAAATTTTTTTCTCAAGGTCCTGGAATCCAACTCTGCAATTGTTTCAAGCTAAACTATAGTCGAATGTTCTCGTGCACAAAGTTAAACTGTATCAAATTAGAAGCCCAAATACATCTTGCTAACCATACAAGCTCCATACCTGTTCTGAATTCTCCGGAATACACCACTTCCTCACTGCCAGTGCAATACTTGTCTTGATGTTATTTTGTAATTGTCCCTTGTTTCTTTCTAGTGAAATGTGTATGTTTCTCTCCTAGAGATTGTAATTTTTTTAACTTATTATTTTTTTTAAACACTGCACTAAATTCAGAAAAGAACTCGTTGAATGTTGCTGAATTATAGTCTGTTATGAAGTCCACTTAGGAGAGAGGAAGATTGGGCAGTAAAATACCAGATAGAGAAAGCTTTGATTCTAATCAGAGAAATGCCAGTTTAAAAAAAAGGACAAGAGCTGGGCCGGTAATCTGGGAGGTGGAGACAGGAAGATTGCAGGTTTGACGCCAGCCTCAGCTATTTAGAAAGCCCTAAGCAACTTAGTGAGATTCTATCTCAAAATAGAAGTTGAAAGGGGCTGGGAATGGAGCTCAGTGGTAACTCTGGGTTCAATCCCAAATTCCAAAACAAACAAACAAAAGCTGGGATGCATGAGAAATCCAAGAAAAGAGTTACAGTAGAAGTTTGGGGAAAAAAAGATTTAATAACACTGACATCCAAATCCTACACATGAATCTGGATAGCTGAAAGAAAAAAATTAATCTGGCTAGGTGGCATATTTGGATTGGCCTAAGAAAATCAAGACTTTTAAATTAACAATGATATCTTTTGTTTTCAGAAAATTAGTCTTGTACTGTATTCAGCTTTTGACTGGCACTAATTCTACTTTTTCTCACAACTTTTGGGAATCACCAAGCAATGATAAATAAAATCTAATATTTAATGATGAAAAAATATCGTTTTTGCACAATGAATACTACAGTGACTTGGAAGATTTACTAGCACATATACCTAAAAAGAGAATCTGTTAATTTGAAGCCATCTCCTGCCTTAATCTAGGTCAGCATAAATTAAAATTGATTCCGAAATATTATTAATGCCATTTTTTTAGTCCTTAATGACAATAAAATATAGTTCTCAGGATTACATTTTAATTTTTTGGGAGTAGTGGGGGGTACCTGGTTTGAGCTCAGGGGCACTCACCCACTGAACGGAATCCCAGCCCTGTTTTGTATTTTATTTAAAAACAGTGAGTTGCTTAGCACCTGGCCTTTGCTGAGGCTGACTTTGAACTCGCAATCCTCTTGCCTCAGCCTCTCAAGCTGCTGGGATTATGGAGGTATGCCACCACACCCAGCTCCATTTTCTTTCAAGGCAAAATCATGAAAATCCAAAGTAGAGGAGATTATGGTGACATATCATTTAGGGACTTTCAAGTTTAAGATGGATTAGTTATTGATTTAAAAAAAAAAAAGATTTGAAGTTGTAGATGGACAGCATGACTTTGTTAATTTTTTTTTTTAATGTGGTGCTAAGAATCAAACCCAGTGCCTCACACATGCTAGGCAAGCACTCTGCCACTGAACTACAGCCCCAGCCCAGTATAGATATTTTAACCACCTCAAAACATGAACTGTACATTCATTTCTTCATAGGTTTGAATGCTTTTAGTTAAATTAGAAACATAATTTTGTTTATTTATTTATTTATTGTGATGGAGATCAAACCCAGGGCCTGGGATGGAACCAGAGCCTTGCACATGCTAGACAACTGCTCTAGCCTGACATGTAACTTTAGAAAAAAGTTTTAATGTGTAGTTTAGCAGTACACCACAAAGCAAAACTGAAACAGTCAGGATTCTTCAAAAATCGAGCACTGTTCCTTAGCGCCATATTTAAAATGCAAGATAAACGGTTATTTTATCTATTGGTATTCTAGGCATGTTCAGAAAACACTTTCTGACTTTTTACCCTAAGGGGCGGATTAATTGTTTTATGGAGGTCAAACTGCTTATTCACTACTTGTCTTCCAAGCACATAAAACAGTAGTTGGCACGTGGTGGAACTACTCAAATATTTCCAGTTGAATGAATAAGAAGCCTTTTGGTTTATGCATCTGTGAAGTTCATGAAGAAGAAGAAGAATTATTCAGATAGTATTGTGACTTTTTGAAAAATAAGCTAGTTCTAACTCCAGTTTATTTTTTTTATCTTTGTTTTCTGATACTGGGGATTGAATCCAGAGGTGCTTGAGCTACATCCCCAGCCTTTTTTATTTTTTGAGACAGGGTCCTGCTAAATTACTGAGGCTAGCCTCTAAAATTTGCCATCTTACTGCCTGAGCCTCCCCAGCAGCTTGGATTACAGCCCTGCACCACTGAGCCTGGCCAGCTAGATTATTTTTGAATGGGATAAATTCTTGCTAACCTTTATTCTTGAGTCCAGATTAAAAACTGTTCATTCTCAGGCCAATGACTGCTAGGATTAAAAGAACCTAGACAGGTTCTCTTTTTTGCTATTGTGCTTTTAAGTTACTTACATGTTCTTTGCGAAAAAGGCATATTTAAAATTCAACCTTGCACCCCCTTCTACACTTTATTCACTTCATGTTTCTCTTCCCACAGGTCACAGTGTTTTGTGCTAATCAGTGGCCAATGAATCGTGTGGACGAAATGAAACTTCGTTTCGTCTTTTAGCACCGCAGCAACGCTCCAATATGAACAATCCAATTCAAAATACAGCTCAATCCATTCTCCTCTGCTGCCCTAATATCCACGTCACAAAATAACCTACGGGTCCAGGGAATGCGCACCCCAGCCATAAACACGCTATTTACAAATACTGAATTAGATTAGTCCGAAACTGTGCTGGATTATACAGGAAACTAAAAAATTCCAACAGATATGTTTCACGTAACATTTCAAATCTTCAAATACCGGAAAGTGTGCCCGTTTAAACTGCAAGTGTCTGTCTGCGGCCGCGCGTCCAGATTTGCAGCAGGATAAATCCGGGACTCCAGCGGAACCCTACGCTGCTTACACGGAGACAGGGGAAGCCGGGGAGGCGCGGCTGGGGCTGGGTCTCCGCTCGGCACTCGGCCACAGGCCACCCTACGCGGGACCCTTCTGCCCAGCGCCGCTCCCAGTCAGGCAGAGCAGAAGCCAAGCGGAGGGGCCGGGACCCGACGGCACGCAACTCCAGTTGCAGCGATCGAAAGCCAGCCCAAGGGAACCACAGCAGAGCGCGGACAAAGGCGGGAGCGCCGCCGGGGCGTGGCCACGACCGAGAGGCGTGGCTTGTCCCGGAAAGGGCGGGGCGGACCATCCGGTCGTCTAGGCAACGGAGGGCTCAGAGCCGGGCTTTTCAGAAAGTCTTAAATCCTGGAGCCATGGTGGAAGGGAGGTTAAAGAGGGGTCGGGGCGTCAAAGGACACTAAAGTGCCGCCAGCGCCCCAGGTGTTGGCGGTCCTTCCAAAAAGTGGGGAATGGAGAGCGCTCGGAGGGCACCTAACGGGCCAGGAATCAGGGAAGCATCTTTTCCGCCGGCCCGCCCTCCGCAGAGGCTCGGTCCCAGGGAGCAGCTTTGCTCTCGGGCCCCTTTGTCTCCAAGCCGTTCCAAACTGAGCTCCAGGAGGTGACAAAGGGAAAGCAGTGGTGAACAGCGCAGCCGCGGGAGCCGCCAAGGCTGCTGGGAGTGGTGGTCCTGCCGCGCTACAGTACTCGGTCCCCCTCCCGCGCGGGCCTTGGCCGCTGCCGATGCTAGTGCGCTTGCGCCAGCACTTCCGCCCCTCCAGTGCCCACCCGCTCTGCCGGCCTCCAGACTTTAGTAGTAGGAGCCCAGGAGGAGCCCGAATTTGTCACGCCCCCTCTCCGTCTTGATTGGCCGCAGAGGTAAGGTCTGCAAGTGGATTGGCTCTCCGGGTTGCCAGTTCTTTTCCGGCTCATACTTATATTGCGCGGCGGGGCGGGGACGAGTAGAGTAAGGCTGGGAGAGGTAATGGTGGTTTGCTACTGTCGGAGTCTCTCAGGCGGCCGTCCCGCGGCCAGTCAGGTCCCGGGAAGGTCTTCAGCGGAGCAGGCCACCACCCCGCGTCTCCCGGCCGGCGTGCAACGCCTCCCAACAGCCTCGCCATCAATTGCCAAACTCCTAGTAAAGTTTGCGCCTCGCCCGTTGCCCCAGCCCGGCGGCCCTGTCGCTGTCCCTTCCGCGACCCTCGCCACAGCGAAAGTGACGGGAAAGGCCACGCCCCCTCTCAGGCCGGCATCGCGGCCCTCCGCCCCCCGGCCCGGGACGGTGAGGGGCGTGAATGCGGCGGGGGCGGGGCCGCCGCCAGGAGCGGGCGGGGGGGGGTGGGGCGCATGCGCGGTGCGCGCGGGGCTGAATGTTTCCCAAGTGTTTGAAACTGGTATTTGGGTTTTCCACGTTGGACAAGTGCGGCGCGGCGGGCTGCCGAGCGCGCCCTTCCCGCTGCCCGCCCCGCTCGGCTCCCCTCCCCGCCCGGCGGCGGTGGGCGGCGGCGGCCGCGGCGCTAGGCCCTCTCCCGGGTGTGTGCGCGCTCGTACGCGCGGCCCCCCGCGCCCGCCTGCCGCTTGGGAGGGGGCCTGCGCGCCCGGTGGGGCGTGAGCCCGGGAGCCTCCGCCACCGCGGCCCGCGCCCGCAGGCGCCGGGGTCCCCGCGACCCCGGCAGATGTAGCCGCTGGCCGGGCCGGGCCGGAGCGGCGGGGGGGCGCGGGAGAGGGAGAGCTTTGCATTTTGCAGTGCTGTTTTGAGGGGGGCGGGGGGTTGGAGGAAGCGGAAAGCCGCGCCGAGTCGCCGGGGACCTCCGGGGTGAACCATGTTGAGTCCTGCCAACGGGGAGCAGATCCACCTGGTGAACTATGTGGAGGATTACCTGGACTCTATCGAGTCTCTGCCTTTCGACCTGCAGAGGAACGTCTCGCTGATGCGGGAGATCGACGCGAAATACCAAGGTACGGCGGTGATGGATGGGCGGGGGCGGCCGCGTCCATCCCCGCGGTCCGGGCCGCCGCGGCCGGCTGGTCCTGCTGGACCCGGAGGGAGCGGCGGCCCCTGCGGCGGCCTCGTCGGGACAGGAACAAAAGGTCTGGGGCGCCTTTGATCCTCCAAGGTCCTTGTGTGCGGAGCCGGGACCCGGAGGGGGAAGGAGCGCTAGCGGCGCGCTGCAAGGCTGCGCGACCGAAGCGCTCTTTGTAGTGAAGTGATGAGGCGGGTGCTGCGGGGGAGGGGGCGCGGGGCTCCGCCGCGTCCTCGGGGAGGGGGCTCCGGCGGCGGCGCGAGCGAAGGGGTGTGCGAGCTCTTCGGCTGCGGGGCGCGGGTTTGGCGGCTGCAGGGACGGCTGCGGGCCGCGGTGCCCGCGGACCCTAGCGCCGCCCGGGCCCCTCGGCGCCGTACCCCACCCGGTCCTGCATCCGAGTGTTACATAAAGTACGGGGCAGGGCTCGATCGGGGTCGCGGCTGCCCCCGCCCAGCCCCCTCCGGCCCTTGGCGCTGGACATGGAGCGGGGCCGACCGGGAGGGGCGACACCGCCGGTGTAGTTTGCGGAGGATGAGGGCTTTTCTCGGGTGTGCAGTAGGAAGGGAAGGGAAGGGGAGGAGCGGAGGCGGGGAAGGCGCCCATCTGTGCTGCGCTCGGGGGGCGCTGGCCGACTTCTGGTTGGAGAGGAATGTGGCAGGTGAGGGGACCTGTGGGTCCTTTCCTGCAGACCCAGCCGCCCGGAGTGGCAGAGAGGTGGAGGCTTAGTGTCCGCCGGGAATTGTTCGCTGTTAGGGAAACTTTACCGCGAGGTCAGTCAAGGCACTGGGGGTTGTGTTTTGAACGTGGATCGTCTCTGCGAGTTTACTAATGTTTACAGGGCTGCGCAGCAGGGAAACGGAAGCGTTGGAGGGGGTGAAATGGAAGGCAAGCTTGCTTGCGAAACGCACTAGAGAACGCTGCTCGGAAAGCGCCCCTGCGCGCTCTGCTCCGGACGTAGCTTCGCAGCGACTTTTATAGGAAGTTAATTAGCATATTGCGGAACGTTCCGCCTTAGCACCCTAGTGATTGGCCTTGGCGTCTCCGTGGAATGTCCTTATGAGTCTGTTGCATAGCAATTGGTGACCAGGCCGGATGAGGGCGGGCCTTGTGTAATGACTGGCATGGATCTGTTTCCGCTGTCTTTTTTCCTCTGTCAGAGAGGGGCGGGGCGGGAGGGCGGAGGTCGAGTTGATTTGAATGTCTTCGGGTCGCCCGGCCTCCCGCCTCGAATTGGGTCCTGGCACTGAGGGGGCGGGCTGTACTCTTCGGCACTGCGCTTTGATTGGAGCGATCCTGGCCTCCGCTCTCCGGCCCCTCGATCCCCATAGGCGGTGGCAATCGGGGCGGGGCGCGCTTTCCTCTTCCCATTGGCGGGAGTCGGTCCGCCTCGACCCCTTTCCCTGGCTCCGCTGACGACTGAGCCCAGCTACTTCCGGCACGGTGCAATGGCTGCCGCCGGCTCCTTGACGCTGTGTCTGGCCGTCAGCCCAGTCCCTGTGGCTCGCGCCGCCTCTGCTGAGCCGAGGGTGCGGCGCGCGTGACCCAGAATCGCGAGTGAGCGAGGGGTGTGTTCCTGGGGATCCGGCTTTGAGGATGGTGCCCGAGACGCGACGAGCCTGCCCGACCCAGGGGTCTCAGGAACCTGAAACGAGAGGCAGCGACGGCGGGTTTGGGGTCTTAGGGCCGCGAGTTCTGGGATTCTGTCTGTGTCACCCAGGAAAGCTGTTGTCTATGCCTGATGGTAGAGCTTACCGCGCCGCCCTCCGCATAAAGTGCGCGCCCTACACCGCCTAGCGCCACCCTGCCCTCCTGCATCTGTCCCTGCAGCGAGCCGGCCGTGGGTGTTGAGGTGTCGCCAGAGCCCCAGGACACTAAACCAAACCTTTCCTTTAAAACTTGTTGCAAGTCTAACCTCCTTGACAGCCTGTGCTTGGTAAGCTTCAGATGTAGATAAACCCATAGGGAGGGGTTAGTTATTGTGGTATTAGGTGGTTTGAATTTTTTTCCAAATGCTAAGGGAAGTCCGTGCAACTTTTTATAAAATTTGCAGTTTTCATCATTGGACAGACGAAATTAAACTTGCTGCAATCTCAAGTAAGATTTAAGGTTTTTATAGTGCTGGTACTTTGATGTGGGATATTTTTAGAAGATAGGGTCAGCAGCAGTCTGAAGCTGAGCTTTTGGGGTAGAAGAAGCAGTTTGCCCTGGCAGAATACCTCCGATTTAGCAGTGGTGTTAATAACATTGTTGATTGCTCTTTGTGACTTTGTTGATAAAGTACTTTGCTTAGAACATCTAAGAAATGCATGCCATTGTTTAGACAGCAGAATATTAAAAATAAATGGCATAAGCTCATTTTAATAGCTGATAAAATAAGTTGGATCAGTTGATTTGTTGAGTTAATTAAGGCTGTGAGGCTAGTCATTCCACCTTTTTGGTAGTAAGGTCTGTATGGTTCCTCTGGGAAATATCTTCAGAGTTTGGAATATAATCTTAACCATTCATTGTTCTTCTTGTTGGCTTAAGCTCGTGTGTTTACTCTAGTGACAGGTTTGTCTTTATTTTTTTTCTCTCTCTTGGTTCTGGAATCAAACCAAGGGGTATTCCATCATGGAATTACATCCCCAGCCCTTTTTATTTTGTAATGTGAGACAGGGCCTCACTAAATTGCCTATGTTGGACTCGAACTTACTATCCTCCTGCCTCAGTGTCTCTGAGTTACTGGGATTACAGGTGTGTGCCACCACTCCCAGCCAGGTTTATACCTTACAGCTAAAGAGATCCGAAAGCTCAGTGGGTGGTAATATTCCAGACATTCCCTCCAACTCCCTCCCCTTCTCATCCACTTCCTAATTGAAGAGTGTAGGGTAGTTTCTTTGTTTTAAAAGACCATAAGAAGATTTCAGGATTGAAATGTATACTATTTTTTTTTAAGTAACTGGGAATTTCTAGGTATTTTAATAGGTTTTTTTGTAAGAATATATAGTTTTGCTTTAATTGGATTATTTAATAGCTTTTATTTCTTTAATTACATTTGCCAAAATACATTTTAAAATCACATGCATTGTCTTCAGATTATTTTTGATGTTTTTGAGTCTATTGACTTTTGTAGCTCTAAAAATGGAATTGCTATAAAAAATAAAATCTGCTATTTTTGTTTGAAAGCAACACTAAATTGTCTGTTTTATTGTGACCAAACCATTGTTATTTTCAGTAGTGCCCAATAACACCCTGGAAAGGCCGTAAAGTAACAGGTGACTGAGGGCCTTGGTCATTAAATAGTCTGATCCTGGGCTTTTTAACCCCAGGCATAACCATTGTCAAAATCTGTGTGCGTTCTTTCACAGGGTATTTTAGACGTTGATACATTAGAATAAAAGCTGTTATTAGAGAAATATTTGAATACAAATGGTGGAATTATAAGATCTAATTATCAATTTAATAGGAAAAAAAATTTAGCCCCAACCACTTTTACCTAAATTGGAACTTCTCACTGATGCTTCTGAAGTGTGTCCAGTCCCTTGGGGTATTTCGAGAGACAAATAAGAAGGTACTCAGCTAAACAGGAACTATGTTGATGTTTCACTTTGTTCAACAGTGAGAAAGTCTCTGGAAAGGCCTACAGGTGGTAAGATTTGTATATGAAAAGTTTGCCTTGGTCTTATCTATCCTTAGCAGTTACGTTTTTTTATAGACTAAAGAGTTAAATAAAAGGCTTATTTAATCGAGTGGATTTCTTCACTAGTATTTATATTTATAGCTTGGATGTGTAATTTATATTATTTTGTTTATAGAAATCCTGAAGGAATTGGACGAATATTACGAGAAATTTAAACGAGAGACAGATGGTGCCCAGAAACGCCGAGTGTTACACTGCATCCAGAGAGCCCTGATTCGGAGCCAGGAACTGGGTGATGAGAAGATTCAGATTGTGAGTCAGATGGTGGAGCTGGTGGAGAACCGGACCAGACAAGTGGATAGTCATGTGGAACTCTTTGAAACACATCAGGAAATCAATGACACCACTGGCAACAGTGGCAAAGCTGGCCAAGATAAGTCAAAGAATGAGACAATCACGCAGGCAGAAAAGCCGAATAACAAACGTTCCCGGAGGCAGCGCAACAATGAGAATCGAGAAAATGCATCTAATAATCATGACCATGATGACATCACCTCAGGAACACCCAAGGAGAAGAAAGCAAAGACCTCGAAGAAGAAAAAACGCTCTAAGGCCAAAGCAGAGAGGGAAGCATCCCCTGCAGACCTTCCCATCGACCCAAATGAGCCCACGTACTGTCTGTGCAATCAGGTCTCCTATGGAGAAATGATAGGTTGTGACAATGACGAGTGCCCCATCGAATGGTTCCACTTCTCATGCGTGGGACTCAATCATAAACCAAAGGGCAAGTGGTACTGTCCCAAGTGTCGGGGGGAAAATGAGAAAACAATGGACAAAGCATTGGAGAAGTCCAAAAAAGAGAGAGCCTATAACAGGTAGTTTGTGGACATTCACTAGTAGTGGGGAAAACAGAACCAGCTAGTGTATTTATTACATTGCCACCTGTGCTGAGGTGTGAGGATTGTCAAATGTGTATTTTCAAGGAATGTTGGAGAAGGCACCGTTCCCTTCACAGGGATGGCACTGACTCTCTCCACCTTTTGTTCTCACTGGTATATGTGTGTAAGAAGACAGTGGTCTGTGGATCAGCATTTTAGGAACTACAAATATAGGTTTCAATTAAACACTTACGTGAGTCTCAGACTGATTTTTTTTTTTTCTTCTGTGTGTGGGGGGATGACTTGGAAGCAACCTAATACATTGTGATAAGAAAAGATTTACCTATTTTATTTTAATAAAAAATAGTGTTACACATTATGAACATTTTTTTAATTAGCTGGGTTGCTAAAGTACAGCCTACAGCACATTTGTTTCTGGTACCATAATGTACATCCATATAACAATTCAATAACCAAGGTTCAAAGTTGGAAGATTATTTTTAAGAAGGTACATGATCAGTGGAAAAGTGCCCAACAAGCCCCAGACCTTGGGTTTATCCCCAGCTCTGCAAAAACAGGTAAAGGGTTAAATTTTACGTGGCAAATATTTTATATACTGGCCTGTTCCCAAAATGGCCATTTTTAAATGATTGGGTTCATTTTTATTATGAACCCAAAAGAAGTGGTCTAGTGATAGAATTTAAATCACACTTTTGCTATCATAGATCATAGTGTGGTCATCTTTAACTTATGTCAAGTGTATAAATGTACATTTCCCAGAGATCTTGCTCTCGCTGTATTATAATTGGAAGCACAGCCTGATGTTGTTGTGAAACCAAGGTATGCTTCCTGTTGTGTGTGTGAGTTGTACAGGTGTGATGTCAAGAATAAATGAAACTTGGCCAGTTTGTTTCTCTAGCAGTATATTTAATTTTAGCCTAAGTACTTTTTAAATTTTGTCTTAAAAATTTATACACCAGCAGTTTAGACAAAGCCTTAAGCAAATTGTGTATTAACTGTTCTCAATATTGAAGTAGAAGTTACCTAATTGCCAGCAGATAAATTCATGTCAAAGAAGAATATATATTTAGACAGAGGTCAGGAAATTGCACCCATCAAATCCAGCCCACCACCTGTTTTTATATGACCTGTGAACTACAAATGGTCTTTATGTTTTTAAATGGTTAAAAAAGATATTTCATGAATACATGAAAATTATATGAAATTTGAATTTTAGTGTCTATAAATAAAGTTTCACTGGAACACAGCCATGCTCATTTCCTGATGTATTGTCTGTGGCTGCTTTTGTAAAATGGTAGTCGGGTGGTGGTAATCAAGACTGCACGGGCAGAAAAGCTGAAGTTATTTATTTTCTGGCCTTTTGCAGAACGTTTGCTGACCGCTGACTTAGACTAGCCTCTGGTATTTTGATCTGTCCTTTCATGACCCCCTGGGTGATAATCATTCCTTAGTGATAATGTGGTTCTCTTTAGCTTGGAACATGGGAATTCAGTTCTTTCTGCAGCCTGCTGTACAGTGTCCATGGAGCCATTGCATAGGTGAACTGAGCATCATCTCTGTGAAGTTGGTGACAGCTGTGTCTACATTATGTAAAACAGTAAGTGTTTTTCTGATGGTTTACTTTTCTTGGTGGTACTGGGTATTAAATCCATGGGTGCTGTACCACTGAGCTATATCTCCAGCCCTTTGTTTCGTTATTTTGAGACAGGGTTTCGCCAAGTTGCCCAGGATGGCCTCAAATTTGCCATCCTCCTGCATTAGCCTCCTGAGTTGCTAGGACTGCATGTATGCATATGCTGCTGGGCCTGACTCTAACCGTTTACTTCTGATAAACAGTTATTGAGAACTTTACTCATGCCAGACTTCTATTCAAGGAATTTCCACTATGGAGGGTTAATAGTGAAGTAAGAATTATAGTTGATCATATGTTAAAATTTCAACTTTTTGCATGTTAATAGTTAAAGCCCAAATACTTCGCTGTTAACTTTCTAGTCATTTTAGAATCTTGGGTATTTAAATTTGAGATTTATCTAGAAAAATAATGAACAACAAGAGTTTACTATATGAAAATAAGTTAGGTAATTAAAATAGTTAATGAAAATCATGGCAATAAAAATAAAGAATCTTTGCTTGTGTAAAATTCTGTGATAGTTTTTTCACTTCCATTTGGAGCCAATAATGAAAATTAAATTATAGGAGTGAAGATTCAGTGGAAAGCAGTTGCTGATGTTGGAACTCTTTATATTTTTTCAGTTTTGGTAATGGGGAGAGATGGCACTTGGGCCACACCTTGCTGTATAGGTATCTCTTTGGTCTTTTGGGTGTTTGCTCTGGAAAAATGGCTTATGTGTTGGTCTACAATTTTTTTACTTTTAAAATACTTTCTTCACACAGGGTGTTTCTGAGAAATGAGTGTGAGTCATTCAGTTTTGGAAAAGTTTCCCTAGCTTTAATGAGGTTTCTAATAAGGACACAGGCATTTTTCCTTAAAAAAAAAAAAAAAAAAAAAAAAAAAAAAAGTACATTATGGAGTGAAATTTTGAGGGAATTGGCAGTCTTAAATTATATGTTGATTCCAGTTGGATGGTAGAGTACTCGAGTACAGGTAAGTACTTGGAACAGTCAAGATTTAGGGTTGAGTTCATATTTATATGCAGTTGGGTTCCTCCCAACCCCAGTGGGTACCAAGGAGGGTCTGAGTTTCTTTAGACAGTTGCTTCTATGTAAATATTCAGTATTTATTTATTGCATAAAAACCAAGTTAGCAGTTCAAATAAAAGGTGTAAAATGTTCTCATTGTGGTGCAATACATTTATATTTTAGACTGGATAAAGTGAACCTGATATAGTTCAGTTAAGTGAGAGGGGGAGGGGGCTGGGGTTGGGGCTCTTCCAGGGGCTGAGAAGAGATGCTGCCTCCTGACACACAGTGGCCTACCATAGGGACATACCTTCTGGGGACTTGGACCTTTGCCAGTGGCCCTTTCCAGTGTGATTAGAGCTATGTGAGTTGTCTAAGTACCAGAGACCTTCAGTGTTTGCCAGCACTCAGGTAGCAAAGCATTTATCAAAGTAAAAGACCATTGCTGTGTTCTGTTTTCAGAGGAGATACTTGGTTGAAATATCCCTGTGTTGCTTATGTTCACTTTGTGTTCCAGACAGAATGATTAAAATTTGTCTCTGCAAGTTTAAATGCCACACTGGGTCACCTGCTATATAGTAACCTGTGACTCTCTGGAATTGCCAGCATGTGTGGAGGGTTTAATGGATCTTGTCTGAGTCCCTCTGTTAGCTTGTCCATTCCTCTTTTTTTTTTTTTTTTTTAAAGAGAGATTGAGAGAGAGGGAGAGAATTTTAATATTTATTTTATTTTATTTTTTTTAGTTTTCGGCAGACACAACATCTTTCTTTGTACGTGGTGCTGAGGATCGAACCTGGGCCACACGCATGCCAGGCAAGTGCGCTACCGCCTGAGCCACATCCCCAGCCCCTTGTCCATTCCTCTTTAAATCTTGGAATTCAAGAGATTTTAGGCAGATTGGGAATTGCTTCTGGATTTTTTTCATCTGGAAAAATTGCTCACTTGTACCTCCTTTTCCTGAGGTACCATGTTTGCCTGTCACCGTCGTTCTGAATTTGTCATGTTGCTAAATCAAAATGGCCTCCTGAGGTTTTCCACTAGGGGCCTTGCTTCAGAATATTTACCCAGTGTTTAGCTCATAAACACACTAGTGTGCTGAGCCCTCACAGACAGTGAACGGAGACCCATTGGGTCACTTCCTTCCCTCACCTCTGACACACACTCCATAGTGCTTGATTTTGTTCAGAAAGATGGGGTTGGTGTCTTCAGTTTAAAATCCAGTTCACAAAAAAGTCACTGCAGATTGAGTAACAGGTTAGATCTTAATCTACAGTGTTCGGTGCTTGTTGAAGTAGGACATCTGTCAACAAGCAAGTGCTTGCCCAGTGCACTAGCTTTAAAGGCAGCCTTCCTCATGGGTGCTGATAGCCCCACTTGTCACTGCAGGCTAGACATTGTGCTAGGTACCTTGTCCCTCTGTTCCTTCATATTTTGTGGTGCTAAGGTTCAAACCCAGAGCCTATGTGTGAGGCAAGTCGCCATCATTGAGCTACACCCCCAGCCCATGTATACATTTTTTGTTGTTGTTGTTGTTTTGGTACCGGAGATTGAACTCAGAGGCACTTGACCACTGAGCCACATCCCCAGCCCTATTTTGTATTTTATTTAGAGACAGGGTCTCATTGAGTTGCTTAGTGCCTCAGCGCCCCCGGCTGCTGGGATTACAGGTGTGCACCACCGCTCTTGGCTCCTGTATACTTTATGTTAATTTTTGGGGAGGGCTGGGGATGTGGCTCAAGCGGTAGCGTGCTCGCCTGGCATACGTGCGGTCCGGGTTCGATTCTCAGCACCACATACAAACAAAGATGTTGTGTCTGCTGAAAAACTAAAAAATAAATATTAAAAAAAAAAATTCTCTCTCACTCTATCTTTAAAAAAAAAAAAAAAAATTGGGGGGGGAGGTATCAGGATTTCACCAAGTTGCCCAGGCTGGCCTTGAACCTGCTGTCCTTCTGCCTTAGCTTCCCTAGTAGCTGGGACTACAGGCAGGAGTTCCTGTGCTTGGCTTTTTTTGTTCCTGTTTATATGTTAAATTTATACAGTACCCTGCCACAAAGATGCTGCTGTTCCTGGTGAGCACGTTGAGTCTCTCATGCTGAAACTGATTGGCACAGGCTGCATATGCCCTGTGTCTGCCAGGAATACCCACTAGTGTCCAGGATCTGCTCACTCACATTAACTGATATTGTGAGCTGTGTGGAGCTGGCCAAGTGTCTCACAATGACCACCAGCTCTGCCCTTCTCCCAGCCCTATGGTGAAGAGAATTTCATTAACTTGTGACTGAGAAGATTGAAGACCAGAGAAGAAATGTGAATGGTCTCAGGAGTAGGGCTGCAATAGGACCCAGGACAGTGAGAGCTCAAGGTCTGCATTGCCTGGTGCTCTTGCCTGAATAAAAGGATCTCTGGGAACACAAATGCCTGTACTACCAGCCTGTCCTTAAGCATGGGTTTTTCTTGAGGGAGGCCAGGTAGGACACTTGCAGCAAGTTTTTTGTCTTGTCCTGTGGTGGGCTTCAGGACTAGTTTACAGGAGGCTTGAAGCAGTTTGCCAGGACAGCTGCTGTCCTCTGGTCAGTGTGAGACTTAAT